CTCCTAAGGCTCGCGCAGTCGTGGGGCATGATGTGCTTGTTGTAGTCTGTTTTCTGGGAGTTGTAGTTTAGCCTTTTTTTCTGAGTTCAAAATGCAGAAATAAAATTCCATGTTCTCTGTAGCATTTCATTGATTTCATAAATGCAACACACTATAGTCTTTTATACAGAGCGTCCAGGTACAAAAATGATCTGCAGTGTTCTCCTCATTTTAGAGTCAAAAGAGTTTCGTGGCTCTGGGTGTTTTCTTTTCTGTGGGAGACGCTCCAAATGTCTCTTTGAGTATTTAAGATTGTCAACCCCTGAGACAGATATACAGTTACATCAGTATCATTTGCACTTTTTTTGCTTAAATCTTTAAATGACAGAATTTGGGAAAACAATCACAAATGACCATATATCTGAGACCAAAAATATCACAGATCTTACATGCAGTTGTTTTCTGTAAATTCTAAACAATCAGTATTGGCATTGTGCATGAAAAACCCATATTGGTCGATCTCTAAAACTCATCATGGTGAATAATTAGGATGTTCAGAATGTATAAGTTAACTTTGGACCACTACAAACTGATTAAAATGAACTAGTTCTGTTTTTCATTTGTTTAAGAGAGAAAAAGCTTTGACAATTCTAGCTCGTGATTTAATTTAGTGTTTTTTGAGTTCACTAACACTTTGAAACACCAGCCGTACCTCCTGCACGTTTGAATATTATTAACGATAGATTTTCCTGGGGTCAAACGTCCACAAATTCCTCTTTCAGCACCAAACATCTCCCCAATCGATCACACTCCTCTGGTCAAGCCTGTGGTCCGGGTCAACCAAAACACGTGGGCCACAGCAATGTGCGTTTCATTTGGGCCCCGCTCCCCCGACGCTAACTTTCATGCTAACAGGTGGCTAACCGGTGCTGGCGTGTTTAGCATAGGGGCCCGAGCGGCGAGGGTAGCCCAGGGCGACGAGAACAAACGCGGGGAGAAGGTGCAGAAATCAGCCAGGTGAAGCGCCCAAGGCTTTGTGGAGGTGATCGGAGAATTGAAGCCAAACGAGAAGGACGTCAAAGGTAGGGAATGAAAAATGTATCAAGATGTACGAAATATTCCAGGTTTTTCAGTGTTACTGTGTGTGGAAACAAAGAGAAATGGCTGTTATTAAAGGGCCCGTATTGCGCTATTTTCTGATCTATGTTTTAATGTTTCTTCACTATAACAGACCTGGAGTTGTGTTTTGTTTCATTGGCCACGTTTACATGATGTTTTATTAAATTCCGAATTAATTGTTCTGAATTAAATTCTCCTTCGAGTTTATGTGGAAATAATAATTCTGAATTGAGGTTTACATGAAAAACACGTTAAATCGTCTTTTTCAGTGTCTGGGGGTGGGGAAGGTTCTGATTGGACAGAGACACCAACGTATTTACATCAACCAGAAGAAAACACACACTTCAGCTGCTCCCGGCTTTTCTGTCATTTCGGTTTGTTGTTACGTCACGGACACAAACATGATCCAAACTTTTTCTACAGTGTTTCTGATGATAATTGTGCAGCAGCTGGAGAATTGTCTCATCACGATTTACGTCTGTCAACTGAGGAGGAGAAGGGAAGAGTGTCGGAGAAGGAGGAAGAAGACAAAGTGAGTGTGAAGCTGCTCTACCTCAGCCCACTCCCACATCCCGCTCACAAATCCAAAGAGACGTGGATGAAAGTCCGAAGCCAGGACTGGATCGCGTCAGAAGGGCGACCCAACGAGCTTGTACTGAATGAGCAGAATTACAGGACCAGCCTTTAAAGTGTGGAGGATAAATAACACAAAATAAAATGATACCACAACACAAAAACTGTGGTGTTTTGTAAATATGATAATAAACATTTCCAAAGACGTGTGTTTTTTACTCATTTTGCAGCTTGTGGGTTTAATATTAGCATTAATGTATCACATGACCGAGACAAGCATCTTAACATGAGTCAAGAGTGAGTCACAGACGGGTGTAACCTTAGACTGTATATGTGTAAAATCCCTCAGTCATACAGGTAGAATTCATGCCAAAAGGAGAAATTCAGTTTTTGATTTCTGAAGGGAGGAGCTAACTACACTGAAACTACTCTGAAACTAACACACACTTGTTTACAGTTAGATGGTGTTTGACTCCTCTATTTCTGTTCACAGATATATTGTCTTTCCTAACAAAAATATCTTACAAAAAATAGCTTAAGCCATCTATCTCCTATTTATAACTCCATCCTCAAATCTAAATCTGAACAAACTAAGAAAACAATAGTGATAGTCAGGTCAGGTCCACAAGTGTGAAAGCTCCATTATGGCCCTGAATGATTCTGCTAATATGTCCCTCACAGTCAGTGCAAGTTTAATAATCCTAACCAACAGAAACTATAAACAAGTGTGTGTGTTAGTTTCAGAGTAGTTTCAGTGTAGTTAGCTCCTCCCTGCAGACAGATATAAGGAAGTGTCCACCAGCGTCTGATCAGAACTGAAGAAGCAGCTTGGATGAGCTGAGAAACATCTTCAACCAAAAAAAGTTTTGTCCAGTCGACAAACTGACTTTCTCCTTTTAAAAACGTGGTCTAAGTGAGTGTGATGTCACCCACAGTGTTTAGCACCATTTAAATGAAGCTCACAGTTATGGGGTGAATTTGGAGCCAGGCTTTATGTTATGAACAGGATTTCTTTGACAGACAAATTAGGAAAAAATAAATCAATTCAGGATCATGTGTTGCGGGTTAATACGAACATTTTAAGACCAAAATGACAAGGCTCACTGCAGCAGGTACAGAGAGAGGAGCCACATTATTTTAATGTCAATCAATGGGAGCCAGAGTCAGAACAAGTCAGAAGAATTTCTTATTTGGAATGCGGCTAGCGAGAATTTGGTCATTTCTCAAAATAAAACATTGTTCAGATTCGGATAATAAATAAAATGGAAATAAAGTAAGTTATTTATTCATTCTGTGTGGCTTTCTGTAGGTTGGGGACCACTGCTCTAATGGGTGAGTGGTTCCATAATGTAAGTAGAAAAACACAATAGAAATCTGACCACTTCCCATTTGCCTTTAAAAACATAATGTGTAACCTTTTAGCCAAAAAGAGACTAAAATAAAAACATGTTATTTTTTGTTTTGTTTTTTCTTTCTTTTGTTTTTTTCATTGTACTGAAAAACCTACAAAGATGCATGAGCGAGCTTGCATCTCCACAGACCTGACTCTTATCTGGCCTTGTTTTGCTGCTTGTTTCCATGGTAATATTGTTCCTTTGGCTATAATGTTCCACCATATGGCTTTAAAAACATATCTATCTCCAGTGTTGGGGAGTAACAGATTACATGTACCAGAGTTATGTAATCAGAGTACAAATTATGAGTAACTGTATTCAGTTACAGTTACTGTTTCAGTGAGTGGTAATTGGATTACAGTTACTTTGTTGAAATAAATGGATTACATGGCAGTATTTTCCTGTTTTCACATTTCGGGCTATATCCCTTTTTCTTTTCTTTTTTTTCGGTAATTCCACTCATTGCCGGACACTAAACCAGGTCTAAACCACAATTAAACGAGGACTAAAACCAGGTCTAAACCAGGTCTAAAACTAAGGTCTAAAACCAGGTCTAAACCAGGTTTAACCAGGACTAAACCAGGTCTAAACCAGGTCTAAACCAGGGTCTAAACCAGGTCTAAACCAGGTCTAACCAGGTCTAAACCAGGTCTAAACCAGGTCTAAAACCAGGTCTAAACCAGGACCAAAGCAGGATTTAACAGGACTAAACCATGCTGTGTGGACGTGTCTCCTCCTCTTCTATCAATAATATTTTTAATATGCTTAAGTAAAGTTTGGGCTTTTTTATTGACTTTTAACAGACAAATCATCTTATGTGAAGATTTCCTCATCTTTGCTTCTCTACAGCAAATCAAGTAATCCAAAGTATTCAGATTACGTTACTCACTTTAAGTAATTTAATGGATTCCGTTACAAATTACATTTTGGGATATGTAATCTGTAATCTGTAGGGGAATACATTTTAAAAGTCAACCTTCCCAACACTGTCTATCTCAGTGAGAATGTTCTGAAAAAATGGTTTAAACTTTTAGTTTTTAAAGAATCATGCAGGTGACGCGGCATCTCCAGAAAGTCACACGGTGTTGCTTTAATTTATCCACTGTGTAACTGTTTTACTTCTACCAGAAATGCTCGTTGGTGCACATTTAATCGTGAATTGAGCCTAACGTTCTACATACACATTTTATACTCTTAAAAACACACAAGTCGCTATCTCTCTTCAAATTAAACTAATCTAAAGCATATTTTCTCCTCCATATGCAGCCGCTTATAATACAATATTCCCATTTCCCCATTCTCACTCTTCTAATTTATTGAAGTAACGGAGCAGAAAACGCACTGACAGACATAGCACTTTACCGCCAATGACTGTGTACATTCTGCAGCCAGGGCCCATTGTATTTCGATAATTGCCCCGGCCCCAGAACGAGCGGACCAGTGGTGAGTTGGACAATTACATGTTGGAGATGACAGGGTATACTTTAGGTTTCACTTCCTGGTCGGTGTAAGGTCTGTACGGGCTGAGGGGGAGCGTGGAAAGTGCTGTTAAACAAATGTAACGCACCCTGGTGGTTAGTACTGGTGCTCGCGGATGATGGAAATCTGTGAGGTTAATTATGTTATGGCAAAGGAGTACAGAAGTCAGAAATTGTACTTGCGTAAGAGTAAAAAATATGACTTATGTAGAAGTACAAAGTAATGGTCCAAGAAATTTCCCAAGTAAGAGTAAAAAAGTATTTGGTAAAACTACTACTCAAGTAAGAGGTCCTATATTACAGAAAAAAGTTACCTCTTGTGAGCTTTAAGTCATGTTAGAATGTTGTTACCATCAGCAACAATCTGTTCCACTTTTGATGTCATGAAGTGGTACTTTTCAAGCTCCTTTTACCTTTTGTTTAGTAGAGATGGTAAATTCCAGGGTTGAAATCATCCAAATGATTGTAGTGAAGGTGTGTGGGGTTTAAAAACACTGTAGAGCACTTCACGTACCACAATGACATCACAAGGTGGAACAGACTTTTCAGTTTGAGAGAAGAACTCAACCTAAATGTGCAGGGTTTATGTGTTAAACATGTGAATGAAACAAAACAGAAGTCCAGGTGTGTTTTTGGTGAGGAAACTACATTAGAACATAGATGAGAAACCAGCGTAACATGGGCTCTATCTGTATCTACATGTAACATCTGATTATGATTTGAAGTGAATGTAATGTTAAATACAAAATATTAAACCAGGGGTCATCAAACTAAGGCGTGGGGCCGACTGCGGCCCTCCATGCCCCTTTGACTGGACCCCAGCCCCTCTGCCCCCAACACTTGAACTGGCCCAGTGAGGAAATCCTCAAAAGTTCATGGCCTATTTTTTTTAAAATTACTTTTTGGCAAATAATAACAAGTCTGCATCTTGTATTTTGTGATTTTTTTTTCAATTAAGAATGATATTTATATGCAGTATTTAATTATGTGACATAATTATATTTGATGCCAAATTTTCATCACCTGACAAACTGGAGATCAGTGCCACACACAGAATACTGTAGTGTAGAGTACTGTACACACCAGTGTACACAGATTGTGAGCAAGGTGGGTTAAGTGTCTTGCCCAAGGACACAAAGACAGCATTCATCTGTGGGAGCTGGAATCACACCAGCCAACCTGTGGGTCAGTGGATCTGAACACTCAACCTGTGATTTAAGGGTTTATGTCGAGAGATGGAATCGAACCGCCAACCTTCAGATCAGTGGACGAATGCTCTACCAACTGAGCTACTGCTGCTACTGTAGTGTAGAGTACTGTAGTGCAGAGTACTGTGGTATAGAGTACTGTAGTATAGAGTACTGTGGTATAGAGTACTGTAGTATAGAGTACTGTAGTGCAGAGTACTGTAGTATAGAGTACTGTGGTATAGAGTACTGTAGTATAGAGTACTGTGGTATAGAGTACTGTAGTAGAGTACTGTAGTAGTACTGTGTATAGAGTACTGTAGTATAGAGTACTG